AAAACAGAGAATATTATACATATATAGTATATGTAATATTCTATATCTATATATAATACAAACAGATACGCATATATGTATTTATACATATATATACCGTAATCACGTGACCGAAGTCAGTAACACCGCCGCGGTCGCGCGGCCGAGGTCAGTGACCCTGATTCGATTCGGCTCGATCAACCAACTAACCAATCGGCAACGCGGAAAAGAGGCAACAATAGGTGCGATATATTCGACTCCAAACGTGCACTTCTCGGTCCAATTTTAATATAGGATAGGATGGTCCTAACCGCTCGCAGTCTTTTCTCTTGTATGGTGCATATATATACATTTTAATGTTCATAGAGTTTACATTTTTTTGCATAAGAATATGAACTATTTAAAATTTATAGGAAATATATCTATAAATAAAACACAAATATAAATATCTACACTTTATTATCAACATGATTGGAGCCGAATCTCAAGTTCGTGAAACTATAAGTGAACTTTTTACCGTGCGGAGATAATTACATCTTAACAACGCTTGACTCTTTGTTCATAATTACTTAATAATTAGTGTGTATAATCATCGATTTTTATATTTTCTTAATTTATGCACGTATAAATAGTTTTTATGTATAACACATACATATTCTGCGTTGTACAATTATAGATAATTATATACTCACTTTCTTGTAACATTCTACAATCAAGCACGAAAATACAATTCTATTCTTTCTTCTTTTCTCTATTAAAAGAATGCTGGAGTTCCAAGGAGGAATTACACTCTGATAAATCAGAGATAATGAATAGCCTCTACTCTATTCTTGTTTTTACTCATTTCACATGAAACGGGAAAGTTTTTTTTTGACAAGGATGTTGTTTTTACAGGAAGATTCGTTACAAGGAAAATCTGATTTACGATGGAGAAAGAGCGGCGACTCCGGGCAACACTTTGCCCTCCAAAAGTTCTAGACTCGCGCCACCGCCAGTGCTCACGTGGCTCACTTTATCCTCCGTTTTCCATTTAGCCGCGCACGTTGCCGTATCTCCGCCTCCAATAATAGTGATTGTTCCACGAGTTGTAGCTTCAACGACATTATCCATTAGACTCTTCGTGCCTTTGCTAAAGTTCTCGAATTCAAACACTCCCGGTGGACCGTTCCACACTATAACTTTTGCTCTCTTAATCGGCTCTGCAAATAAAAATACATTTGCAAATATAAAATATAACACATAATTCTTTTCCCCTAATACATCAAGTAATTTGTATATTAAATATTTATTTTTTTGAAATTTACCAGCAAACAATTCTCTCGATTTTGGGCCAACATCGAGACCCATCCATCCGTCAGGTATACCATTTTCAATATCCGCAGCTCCTACCGCAGCATTTTCCGCGAATTTATCTGCAGTCACAAAATCTACAGGTAAATGTATCTGAACATTGTTCTTTTTCGCTTTGTCCAACAAGTCGTTCACGATTTTTGAACCTTCTTCATCAAATAAGGAACTTCCAATCTAGAGAAAATCACATAAATACAAACATCCAAAATATAATCACTTTTTATTGTTTCTTTCTTAAGTTTTATTAAATTTTACCTTCATGTTTTTGGATACTTTTAAAAATGTGAAAGCCATACCACCTCCGATAATCATTTCATTTACTTTATCAAGCAAATTATTAATTAGTTGAATTTTATCAGCAATTTTAGCTCCTCCAAGTATGGCTAAAAATGGTCTTTCTGGATTATCTAGAGCTTTCGCAAAGTACTCGAGTTCTTTCTTCAGTAGAAAACCACTAGCTCTTATATCAAATCCATCTCCCATCATGGAACTGTGAGCGCGATGAGCAGTTCCAAAGGCATCATTAATATACACATCTCCTAGTTTTCTTAAAGATGCTCTGAATTCAGTAACCTTGTCTTTATCAGCTTTGACCTAAAATAAAAATCAATCAATTATGTCTCTGAATTCTAAAATATGAAGCGATCTACATTATATATATATATATACTTTTAAATTTTTAATAATTGTTAAAAAAATTTAATTAAAAAAATTGAAACTATTTTTACCTTACTTCCATCAGAACCAACTCCTTTTCCTTCTTCTTCAATATGAAATCTCAAATTTTCTAATAAAATTACAGTACCAGGTGCTGGATTAGCACAAGCAGCTTCTACCTCAGATCCCACACAATCATTCAAAAACACAATTTCTCTTTCTAACAGAGTTTTCAGCTCTTCAGCCACAGGTTTTAACGTATATTTCTCATCTCTCTTTCCATCCGGTCGACCCAAATGAGACATGAGAACAATCGACTTGGCTTTCTTGTCAATTGCATATTTCACCGTATCCAACGCAGCAACGATTCTCTGATTGTTTGTTATTTTGCCCTCTTTCAGCGGAACATTGAAGTCAACCCTAAAAAAAAACAAATTATTCTGTCAAGTTTCCGTTGAATGTCATTGACTTTTTCTCATCTCTTACATAATCTTTTTCCTTGAACGAAAGTTTTGTTCAAGAAACATACCGTATTAGCACCCTCTTATCCGTCAAGTCCACTTTATCAATGCTAAGCTTGTTGAGTGCCATAACGACAGTGTTTTTCTTTGTAGTCTTGTTTAACGCGGTGCTTTCAAAGAAAACGGGAATATCGCCGGATACAAGACCTCTTATTAACCTCTTATTAACGGAATAAGTAACGTCGTGCAATCGACCGTCGTTTGATGAGCGCGAGGACTTGAAATCGCGAGTTAACCTCCCAATGTCAAAGCAAGGTCGTCGAGTGTGGCGACTCCTCCCCGTAATTCCTTGCAACGCGCGATGCCACCTGATCGACATCACGATTCAATAGTAAGCTCGGCAAGCGCCAACTGGATTTTAAAGGAACTAAAATCAAGACCTCGTGCCGCGTTTCCCATCTCTGAATTTGATGGCTGTGGTTGACAGTGATGTCGAGTCGAGCTTCATGGATGAGTTGAAAATTTGGTTAATACTGTTTGTAACTGAGTGAATGACAATGTCCGTTTTCAATATACGACAATTTTACAGCGCGTTATATCAGCGCTACATAGCTTTATTACCGGCGATACATTTGTCCCGCACACAAAAGGTTAGAGCAAGTTATCGGTACTTTTGAGAGGTTAGAGTAAATACATTTTCATTAAATGCACATTTGAGATCATTATGTAATAATGCAAAAAGTCCGATAAAAGTGTATTGTCTACGTAATAATATTATTGTTTATGATTCAAATCCATCTCTCGCACAAGTGTATGCCTGTTAAGTGTGTGCATATATTTTCTCAGATCTTTATTATCTGCTTTGCTGGTGGTTCAGTATTACTAGGCGGATTGGCGCAATTTTTGAAAAGACGACGAAGACATCCCTTGCCGCCTTCTCGGAGACACTTCAAAACAAGATTAGCAAGTTTCAAAAATTCCAATTTTGGTAATTCTCTCATACTATCGTTATAATATATTGTCATGTTTATATTATATAAATCAGCTTATATAATATAAACTGATTTTAAACACACAATAATAATTTTTACATGTGTATTTATAAGCTATTGAAGTTTATAATAAAACAATTTAATGTTTCTTGTTGGTGAAAAATATAGATGCATTGTCACAGGCATCTTGGGCAAGAAGAAGTGAGGCCAGTACTAGAAGTCATATTAGCGATCGTGCATCGCTCATTTCTTCTGTGCCAGGAGGTGTGGATGAAGATGTAAGACTTACTCCGCAACAATATGGTGTCCTTGGTAAGTCTCAAGACATTTTATTATTATTATTATTATTACAGTTTTGGGATATATAATTGTTATATATATATATATATATAAAATAGCTAATACATATGATATTAAAATCTTCTGCTGAAAAGATATTAAAGATGTTTTGGAAACTAGATTACATACTCTTTGAGTTATCAAATAAGAAATCATTGATTGAAATTGATAACACTCTTTCTCAGTAATTAAAAAATACTATCATATTATTTTTTAACGCTAACATGATTCTCTCTTATGTGTACAGAATATTGTTAATAACTTTTGCAAATAAAAATATGCAGTCTGTTTTTCTCGGTTGAGTTTTCTAAATTTGTTCACTCGTGATGTTCAAGGAAAAACTGGCAGCACTAGCTGTCTAGATGATTTTTTTGTATGTACATAGCATTTATTTATATTTACATGATAATGTACAATACAGTAATATATTCACAAATAATACATCTGTGATGAATACAGATATATCTTTAGAACAGTTCTTGGCTTTACTGATGCCGATAATAATTAGCTTAGAACATTTATTTAGTCTGCCTAACGGCAGGATGAGTTGTCAAAAAGCAATTACTGAGAAATAGATTTACGAGCTCACAGACCAATATGAACGTACAGCGTCCTTCACCTTTAAATTTACTCTAACTTATACACGCCATTATCTTTTACCGTTTCTCAAGAGTTCATACGGAATATCGAGGAAATACCGCACACATAACTTTATTTTGTTTTTTGACTGGTTCTTCGAACACACAAGTCTTTCGATCTCGCAACGAATTTATTGCTTTCTCTCGTAATTGATTATCGTTTCAACAGTGTACTTACGTTTTCCTTCCTTCTTATGTCGTGTGTTTACGTAAAATTTTTATTGAATATCACAACAGGCGTGATTAGGCTTCGACGTCGAGAAACGTCGTTTGAGATACGGGAGACATTTTAGTCCAAAATAAAAGTGCTTCGCGCTAATTCTAACACCATTACGATGTAATAGTAAAATATAATTGTACCTTTGTAACGCTACTATCGATAGAGAAAATATCTATAAAATCATGTTATATGTATAAATAAGCATTTTACTACACAGTTACGACTATAATATATCTCATGTAATAGAAATACATATTTTATATATACATACGTAGATTAAAAAAAACAAAAAAAAAAAAAACGCCGGTAACGCAATCTTGTGTATGTGAAAAACGATAAATTATCTCATCGTTTAGTCTTTTCAAGTGAACAAAATGCTTCCCGCGAAACATCGAACTCAATATTATTATATTTCGCACGCGTACCAAAATATTCTATCCTCTCTTAGTAACAAAGTATTAAGATATATATATATATATACCAATGGTTTCTGTTTTCATTTATCCTTCTTCTGTTTTTACAATCTTCTTCAACAATACTCTAGGAAACCTGCAAATCCTATCACTTTACACTGGCAAGAGACGGGTACGAATTTATTTATTCAACTTCGTTTAAGATTAAAAAAAAAAAAAAAAATTTTTTAGATTTATATTGTACGAAGTATATCTTATGCAAGTATTTTGAAAATAATTCTGTATGTCTACATCCTCTCGATGTGATTATCGTATTAATCACTTTATGCATTGTGTGGTTTTGTACGACTGTTTCGAAATAACTTTAAAACACAAAGCGAATTAGTTTAATTACCCGCGACATTGTGTACCCATCCACTTTTACACTCTATATATGTTATTTCTCTTACTTGCTATCTTTATATAAATTTTACAATCTTCTAAAATTATACGGCAATCTCAAAAATATATCGTAGCGCTGAATTAACTCGCGTGTCTTGCGATCATTTTTCTTTCGGTTGCTTAACTTCTATTCATTTTCCGACTCGACGCTATTACTTTATCCAAGACATTATTCGCATCAGTTACTTCTTTCTCTCTGTTCTCTCTCTCTCTCTCTCTCTTTCTTTAGATACAAAGAATGCTATCATTTTTTAAAGCGATTAGTGTCTTTCTAAAGGATCTAGAATTAGATTATTTTGCGAAGGCATAGGACATACATCATAGCTGGAGAGTCGATTCACAGCGGGGAGATTAGAAAAAGACGGAATGTAACAGTTTCGCGATCGGCTGTTTAACAAGATAATGAGTGAACGTTAAACGTTTTTTGCTTCGATCAAAGTTGACTCATCTCTGTCAAAGTTGACGCATCTCTCACTGCAATCTCTCTCTCCTTTTTCACTTGTACTTAAACTCATCTTCGTGACAAGTTCTCATCGCGAAGACAATTATCTCTCTATCCAAGAGAGAAATAAATATATATAATAATGTAGATTTACATATATCATATATATATTATTAGATATTGAGTTTTTTGTTTAAAGGCAAGCATATATCGGTATATACCGCTATGCCGATCGCGGTCGAGCGGTGTGTCCAAAATAAGAAGGTTTATTCGCGTTATAATCGCTACGTACGAAATTGCAACAGTTTTCTTCAGCGTATATTTTTGTTCTTTTTTTCTCAGAGGTTTTTTTTCTTTTTTTAATTTTTTTTTTTTTTTGTATTCGCCTACTGTGGGTTATATTATTATATTACTATTGCGCGGGAATTTTAGGAATTTTTTAACATTAAGGACAATGGATAGGACACGCGTGAATCAGATCTTCACGTGATTCTGTGGAGGATAAGCAATAGCAACGACGGTGCGACGAGCGTTACCAGAGTCGACTTGAACGTGGCGGCTTTGCCATAGGCCATATCTACCTTGTTCTTAAGCGGCACCGGACCGCCGTCGTCGCTTTGCATGCTGGACAGATCTGTCTTTTTGATTGAATTCTCATCGTGATCCATGTCTGTCTGGCGGTGTCGATATGTCGTCCTGCTTGTCTCCTGTGTCGTCGATATCATCGTTGTTGTCGTCGTCGTTGTCGTGGTCGGCAGCTCGGTTGTAGTAGGCGGTGCAACGGTTGTCGGTACTAGACTAAAGTTACTTAGAAAATAGATGGGTCCGAATTCCGGAATGACGTCGAACAACGATTCTTCTTGACGAATGCCGGTGATCACGCGCGACATTGCCATACCGTCCTCATAATGCGAGATCAATGTAGCGGTATAGGGCACCTCCATTTCCGTGTAGTTAGCCTTCAGAGTCACATTTACACCTGTGCCAGGCTCTAAGGTGACTGAGACACTGCAACATGAGTTTACATGGTCAAAATAAAACTTATCTCCTCGTACAAATCTCTTAATAATAGAACGTACTTTTCTCATATGGAAAGAGAACAATTTACTTAAAATCAATCTAAATTTACATCCTACTTGAATCTATATCTTATTTTGAAAAACGCCGCGATCAAACCGAGTTGAAACAAATACGTTAGCACATTGCGCAGCATTGGCTACACAAACGTCGCGCAATGCAAGCGGAGCGCGCGGATCTGATGCACAGGCATATCGTAATTGCGTTGCGTTGAAGTATCACTTAAGCCGCGCGCTGCGGAGTATTCTGGGGCATGGCGAACGGGAAAGGGTAGCACGAAGTCTCCGTGCAAAGTGCACTCCAGACTCTCCGCCGCGCGCTAACTTCAATGATACACAGGAAGCAATGAAGTACTCGGAGGGCTACAGAGATAGAGAGACGGAAAAAGAGAGAAGGAGAGAAAGAGAAACGCGCGCGGTTACACGTTGCAGAATAAACCTATCTTCTAATTATATGTAATTACATAGATGTGCAGATGAGATTACGGACGCCGTTGTAGACCGTACGTTCATTCCAGTTATGACAAGTGGAATGTTCGTGCAATTAATCTTTGAGATTATTTCTTTTTGACTTATCAAATGCGAGGCGAGAAAGTGGACTTGTCCTGGATCTTTGTGATTATGCAACGTAAACGAAATTTTAATAAAGTTATAGAGAGAAATAAAAATTTATTCGAATTCACTGATACTTTGCATCATGTTTTAGAATTAAAACAAAAATTACATGTTAGAATTTATAATCTATTGTTGAACTGATCTACCGTGCAATTCTATGGGAATACTCACGTGTAAACATCTGTGCGATTCTGCTCGACATGCATGCCCCACGTTATGTTCGGCAAGGATGTGCCGTTGGCCAGCTTAATTGTGGTACTCAGACCGTTCAGAATAGCGTACCTGCGGCCCCAATAGACCGAGTACTTGTACGAATAACTACAAGCCTCTGCCATGTTTGCCTTTTCCTGTCTGTGATTCATGATTGTCGCCTGGTTGAGCACGCGAGGTACGCGCTTGATGTCGCGCTTCTTAGACCAGTTGAGTTTAACGCCGCTCAGCTCGTAACGGATCGGCTCGGTCTCTACCAACAGCTCGCCTTCTTTGGCGGATTCTTCCCTACCGTCCTACAAAACAAAAAAAAAAAAAAAGAATAGAGTCTCGAGCGTCAGTGAATTACGATTGTCTCGATAAATACACAACTGCGGCTATGACATATCGTTAAATCGACCAACATTGAAGCTAAGATTCTCACCTCGGTCACGTAGACGATGTTGTTAGGGTAATTTTCGGTCATGGTGAGCGTGCCTATATAGTGGCTGTATCGCGGTTCTTTGTCAGTTTTCGGGACGACGTATCGAGCGATCAGTTCATTCTTCTCCACGTACACCGTACCTAGATGAAGCTGCGTGTACTTGTCCCATTGTAGCCAAGAGATTCGCGCGGCTGCGTCAACGTTCTCCAGCAACTCGTACTTCTCAAACGGCCTCACCATACCGTGTAACGTCACCGTGCACGTTGTGTCCTTATCTTTCTGCGTGCCGGCCACCCAGACGCCGCTGTGCATCGCACGACACACGTAGAGCGGCCGTTTCTTCGCCTCGGATTTATCCGCTTGATTGGCGTAAGTGTCTGTTTTGTGCCGCGTGTGTGTAAAAGTTTTGTAATATTAATAATAACATATTATTACACATTATTAAAACAATCGGATGGGCTTAATTAATTATTATTAACACTGAGAAGAGTCTAATTTGTGTTCGAACTTAATTCTAGCGACGAAGAATGAATTAATACGAATGAGTATAATTGACTGATGTAATTGCCGTCCGGTAATGTTGAAGACAATGCGAGGCGCATAATAATAAGGCGTTATGTCGCACCTTCGCCATCTGGCACGTTTTCGAAGCCGCCGATGACTATCTCCTTCGATCCGTTCGGGTCGTAGTGCGCCACTGGCAGCCACTTGAGCGTGGTCGACGTAAGCGGTTGGTGAATGTACTTGGACGTTACGTACACGCTGATGTCCGCGGTGGTCCCCGACAACAACAGGACGCAGCCGAGCAGTCCCAAGGCGAGGTAGTTCTTCTGCTGCATCTGCAATTGAGATTTGACGCGGGTGAGACGAGAGCTATCCGCTCGCTCCTAGACGGAGTCAGTGACGTATGACAACGCACGGCAATAGCGAAGACAAGTTCCCCCGACTGCGCAAATCCGTAGACGTAATGCTCACACCTTTTTGTGAACTCGAATTTACTTTTCACGTGAAAGTTTTTACAGAAATTCAGAAAAATATAAAATTCGCTAACAGCGTACAAACTGCGAAGAGAGAATTATCGCTTCAAAGGAAAGCGGCTTGCAAAGCGGCCGTGCCGTGCCGTGCAAAGGGTTAAACACCGCTCTCCCTTTCTGGTTTCTCCCTATTTTTCCACCACCAGGTCGGCTATGCGACCGAGCTATGCAAAAAATGTGCGCGATTTTCCGGCGATTACACGCAACAGGGCACACCTTCTCCCTACAACGTATTAATTGCGTTACGATAGCGCCGGCAACACAAAAAAAAACCACCTATCACGCATAGTTTCGCGCTACATATCCACGTTTGTGCTAACTTCGCACTCGTATAGCGCATAGAGCAGCGAGTTAGAGAGGCTGCTACCGGCCCTCAGGCTTTGTGATTACGTTTCCGCTTACTATACCGAGCGTGTCTTTAACACGAGACCCCGAGTATAACTGGACCTCGGCTCGGTTTTGCTCCTGCTGCTAACGTGTTTTCGCTTCGGTTCGTCCGGCAAACAAACGAGAAGGAAACGTAAACTCGAGCGTTCTTTCCGACGATGTTCGCTTTGCAAAAAATAAAAATAAAAAAAAAAACGTAACCACAGCACACGCGTATTTTTGCAATAATTCTTAAAACAATTAAAAAGAAACTAAAAGAAAATGCTGATTATTTTTTGATATTGAAAGTAAAGTTTTTGTCACAAATATATCGAATAAAATTAGCCAAAATAAAAATTAAAATAAAAGTTTCGTTAATTTATCAACTTGATCGTGCGAGAGCAACGGTGCAAGTTGAGCACAGTAAATACACACATACACAATGTGGTGTAGCTATAAAGATGCGTTGTGAAATTGCTCGCTCAATTGATGTAAACCATAGATGAAGTTTGCGAACCGAGGTGGTAATACGAAACAGTTTTGTGGACAATGACTACGCAAGAGACCTCGGCGCCTACCGCACTCGCTTCATGCACCCGGTGTATCGGCTTCAAGTAACCGTAACGGTTCCGTGGCATATCCGTTTACGTGATGATAATGCTCATTTCACACTGCGCTCGACTTCCGCACTCTCGTTCTCGTAGAGTCTCTCTCCCGAGGGAAAACGTGCCTTCAGGTTTGTGTGTGTGTGTGTCACTTTGTGCAGCGACAAAAGAGAGAGAGATAAAAGATCGGCAAAAGGTCAAGCGCATTTAAATATCCGCTATTAGGATTAGGCGAGAGAGACGAGAAATGAAAGGAGAAGTGCTTCTCCGATGACACAAGAGCGGAAGACAAAAGAAAAGAGGAATTTCGGTTCGCTCTGTTAAACCGTAGTCCAACTTCGTGTGATCGCTTTAAGGAATATCATATTAAACCGGTTTTTCCGCATTGGATTTCAAATTCCGAGAAAACCGAAGTTCGATATTACATCTCGTCGACCCGCTTTTTGTCCTCCTTTCGATTAATCGATAATAGATGTGAGCGGCCACAAAAAAGAATATATAAAACAAAAATAATATCCAAGTTTATTGGAATCTTGTTTAGAACTCTGCGTGACCAACTGCAATGTTGTCTCCGCGATACCATAGTAATGCGTACGATATTGCAGCGGATAGAAGATTAATGACATCGGTTTATCAGAAGATTGGCAATTGAAATAGGACGGTTCGATGTTAATAATACTGTGAGAAGCAGAGAGAGAGAGAGAGAGAGAGAGAGAGAGAAAAAATAGAAAACACGAGGCTCTTGAGGTAGAAAGTAGCGTGTGACACACACGTGTCGACATATTTAATGAAAACGAGTTACGTGTTTGGAAAAAAAATTGAGCAGATTTGCAAATAGAATACAAAACTAATTTCTTTCCGACTGAAGCAATTTATATTTTGCGTCAACGATCTTTTGCAAATAACTTGCTTGCAATTCTAGTTGTTAATTAATTTTCGTCATACCGTATCAACGAGGTTAGTAAGAAACGCGATACGGTGTTTAACGCGTTTATCAATATTTACTCGCAAGTGTCGGTAATTCTCTCCGCACGCCGGTCAATCATTCCGTTCCCCGCTGACAAAACATTTCCGCTCACGTTGTTGTCACAGTTCCGCGGAAACCATCATTGTCGGCACGTTATTGTCGCGATGGCATCGCTCCAATTGTCAGACAAAGAAAGAGAGAGAGAGACGAATAGAGATTCGTCGCAACTGATAACTTTCAGACTATTTCGCACAATTGCTCGCAGGTCTGGTTTCGTTTTTTTTTTCTCACACTTTCTGGCTTTTGTAACGCTCCTTCACATCGTCATTCTTGAGTGTCATTACAACAGAGAAACATCGGATTGCGCAAAGAGTCCGTGACTTGAAAAAACGAACATTCGGGTGGAATCATGAAATATTCACGTTTCAATCGGTTCCCGTGGTCTATGTAAACAAGAAATGAAATCACACAAAATTTCGAGGACGCGTCGGCGGTGACCGTTCAATTCAATTTAAAAAGCCAGCGGCAAATGCCAAACGGCCGACTGTATGCAATTACCGGCGAAATAAAATCTGCATAAATGACACGTCAGCGGAGCGAAAAACGCAACGATATATAACGCAACCGCGTTTTAATTTCACTCCGCTTTCAGTCAACCGTCGTTACGTCGGCGCGCGTTTATCGGAAAAAAGCACATTCCGCATAAATACAAATATGCAAAAAAAAAAAGAAAAAAAACAAGACAATAACGAGTAATTTTCCCTTTCTGTTGTCACATTCCCGTCACACGCGCATCAGTTCAAATATAGACTCGCACCGGTTTCGCGCTACTAATCGGTCAGGTGTAATCTCGTTTTATACGCGCGCTCTACACTCGCGGCGTACAAGAAGTCCCGTTAGCCCGCGAATTCCATCGGCGTTAAATCCGTACCGTCTACTTTTTTTTTTCTTTCGCGCCGATCGCTCGACTCGATTCTCGTGGGTTTCAACGACAAGCGCGTCCTGCCGCGAAGACGAGCAAAACACGTCGTCGTCCACGCGTTGAGGTGTGAATTTTACGACGACACGTCGCGCGACTCTGGAAGGCGAATTTATTGCCGCCTCACGACTTCGCACGAATTTGCCCTCATTTGGCCGAGCGGCTTTTCATTGTGATGCTCGAGCAAAGAGGCGACTCGCGACAAAGTTACGCCGACATTGACTCTTGTATAACTACTCTCGCGGGGAACTCGACTTCGCGCGATGACGTGTGCGTGTGCAGATTTATTGCCATTTAACTTGGACCGGCTCATAGAACGGCTGTAAAACTCGCTTCTTCGCTTGTGGCGTGTGTCAGTCTGTAAGTAAATTAACCAACGGTGTGACTTCTAACCGGTTTAAGGCATTGTCGGAATCGTAAACACGTGTCGAAACGCGCGGAGTGTCGTGACTCGTCACTCTCGTCTTTGATAAATGATATTAAAAAACGCGAACCACGTATAAAGATGTGTATTTACATTTGATTCGCTAATTCACGATGCGTTTGTTGTTGAGAGCCAACAGAAACGGCGAGACTTGATTTTGTTCGCGTCAACATGTAACGCGATTCTCCGAGAGAGAACACAGATATACGCAAGTGTAATTTTATATTTATCATTTTCAAGCATCTCGCGGACGCTTGCAACAGTTTGAAACGTAATAACGCTCGCCGAGATATCGGGCCGTCACAGTTCTTCTTTTCATCTTACTATTTTTCATTTTTTTTTTTTTATTTTTTTATTATTCTATTTTTAACTTATATACAAACACTCTTTATACATAAATTTTTATTCGTTATTTTATCGGAACGATTTTGAGATCATTGAAGAGTAGAAAAACAAAACTTACGCAATCGCGTCGCAAATTTAATCTCAGAAAGTGATTCGAGCTATGCACGGCAGTTTTTTTTTCTTTTTAACCGGATCCATTTTTTTTTATAGATCGTGTAGAATTTCAAGCATCACACTAGACCGAAAAATCGCGGCGAAGGTCGAAAACTCGTATTCTGCGCGTATTCTCTCTCGCAATGTCGTGCTTGTGCGAGGATCCTGTTTCCGTTTGTATTGTACAAATACACGAGAAACGGTTTGTGTGGCGGCACAGATATTTATACATTACATACAGATGTTTCTTTTTTCTCTAGCAATAAAAGTCGCATTGCGCGTGGGTGTCAGTCTCGCGATCTGCAACAGATCGTATATACTTCACGCATGCATTGTAACCTTGCAGCGACCGTAAATGACGTAATTCAAGAACTAGAATTATAGACTCGCGGATTAATTGAGTCAAGACACGGACACACCGTGCGTGTCCGTTTTTAATTATCTTGCCTTAACAGAGTCGCGTAAAAATACTCGCAAGTATAGTTTTGAATGAAAAGAATATGAAAGATAAGAAAGAACATAGTAGATAAAAGAAGTGTTCGCAGTGTCTACGTCGAACAATCATTGTTTGCCTCTTCGAATCGACAGGATGACGAGTCGAACTTGAAGTCAACAAAGACTCAACTGACAATTTGTGCGCGAAGCGAGATAGAATCGATCTCACGTTTCTTTTGTGCGTTGTTGCATTCTCACTCCGTATATGCGATTCTACAATAATAGAGAAGGAGGGAATCTAATTGCAGTAGCAGAAATTGATATTCAGCGCGCGATACCGGTCGTGGAACGGGCACGAGAAAGAAAGACTGTGGTTGTGAGAGTTTTATCGTGACGACAAGCGTATCGAACGTATCAAAGCCGGCAGAAGCCGAGAAACTTGCAAGACGCCGCTGTTTGCTGAAGTAGAATGTCCTTCGCGTCATGCAACACACACGCTGTTCGTTACATTTCGCGCGTTACAAACGTTTG